TTGTTTACGTACTCATACTACACTTGCTGCACTTTTTGGGCAGGATCTGAGACAGGTACTAGTGGAGGACCTATCATCACATACCCACGTCATCCCGAGGCATAATGGTGAGGTGCCTTTCTGAGTCGTTCTGCAGCTACCAGTGTCTCTTCTTATATTTATATTCTGTCTACTTCATTTCAGACATGATTTGGAGTTTTGTATAATCTACTAGATGCTCACGCACTTGTGACACCGGGTCTTGGCACACGCACATTGGTAGAAATTGGTATTTTATTATTTTCTTGGAATAAAAGTTTAACCAATGTACGTTTGACTTATTAGTTAGCTTGCCTAGTTGTAGTGTTGGGCGCCATCATGACCTATAGATGAAATTGGGTCGTCAATGATCTTCATAATTTTAAAAAATAATCCTTCACATTTAGTCTCTTTACACACTCATCACCTCGTGTACGCGACTTTCATCACATTACAATTAATACCAATCCTAGGAAAAATTTCCCCCCACACAAGATTATACAAGTCACTTATCTCGACTTGCTCCAATTTAACTAAGTAGTATGCTTTTTCCTCAATTTTTCGATTCCGGACGACTCGTATCTAGTCATAATTAATTCGATACAGTCAAGAAAAATTATAGAATTAATTCTATAAGAAAATACTACATTTTTCAATAAAAATCCGAAATTAATTCAAAAATGGCCTGTGGGGCCCATGTCTTGGAACTCGACAAAAGTTACAAAATCTGAAGCACATTCAATCACAAGTCTAACCATACCAAAATTTTCAAAATCCGACCCCAACTTGACCCTCAAAGCTTCAAATCTTATTTTCAAATCGCTAAATTCCAACCCCCGATTTACACCTCAATCACAAGGGGCTTACCTCAAGTTTTTCCGTGAAAACCTTGCTCAAAATCGCTCAACCCGAGCTTGAAATGCCCAAAAAATGGCAAAAGCTCGAAACCCTTCTGTTTTTGTATTGTCCGGGAATTTTCGCATATGCGGCAACTTGGCCGCTTCTGAGCCAACCGCATGTGCGGAAAAAGTCCCGTTGCGCAGGCCGCTTCTGCGCGCGTCCCTCCGCATCTGCACTCGCGCTGGTGCGGAATTTCCCTCGCACCTGCGACCATTGCCCCATAGTCCATTTGTGCATATGCGCTTGCCAGGCTCGCTTCTGCGAGCTCGCACCTGCGATAGAATTTCCGCAGGTGCGAATGCAGCAGAGGGCAGAAACTTCAGTTATTTCTTCTAAGTCCGAATTTGATCCATTAACCATCCAAAACTCACCCGAGGCCCCCAGGACCTCAACCAAATGTACCAACAAGTCCTAAAACATCATACGAGCTTAGTCGAGCCTTCAAATCACATCCAACAACACAAAAACATGAATCATACATAGATTCAAGCCTAATGAACTTTGAAATTTCTAATTTCTACAAATGACTCTGGAACCTATCAAATCACGTCTGATTTACCTCGAATTTTGCTCACAAGTCATAAATAACATAACGGAGATACTAAAATTTTCAGAATCGGATTTCGACCCCGATATAAAAAAGTCAACCCCTCGGTCAAACTTCCCAAAAATCAACTTTCGGCATTTCAAGCCTAATTCCACTACGGACTTCCAAATAAAATTCTGATCATGCTCCTAAGTCTAAAATCACCATACGGAGCTATTGGAATCATCAAAATTCTATTCCAGGGACATTTGCACATAATTCGACATTCGGTTACTATTTGAACTTAAACTTTTAATTTTTTATCAAAATTCCATATCTCGGGCTAGGGACCTCGGAATTTATTTCCGGGCATACGCCCAAGTCCCAATTCATGCTACGGACCTACTGGAACTTTCAAAATGCTGATCCGAGTTCGTTTGCTCAAAATATTGACCAAAGTCAACGCAATTGAGTTTTAAAGCTCTAATTCATATTTTTATCTATTTTTCACATAAAATCTTTCCAGAAAATTTTACGGACTGCGCACGTAAGTCGAGGAATGATAAATAGTAGTTTTCAAGATCTTAGAACACATAATTAATTATTAATTAAAAGATGACATTTTGGGTCATCACATGTGGAGCGGGCCGAACGCCTCACCATGATAGATACATCTATGGATCGTGTCGCACCTCCTTCGGCAGTGTACACGACACTCTGGATTGGGTCGTACGACCTCGGTAGAAATCGTGCTTAATAATAATAATTACACGATACTTTGATAGTTTATTGCAGCTTGTGAAGCTAATTGATAAATTAGAAATCTTTAAAATTTAAAGAATTATTACCCCTGCTTGTTAAGAAATTATTGTTATTCCTGTAAATGCGACTAATTGACAAATTTGAAATTTATTGGATTGAAGAAATTTAATTATTTCCGCTGGTTAAATAAATTATTGTTAATTCTGTGAATCATGTTGATTTAGATATTCTACTTTTATTTCAAATATTATTATTGACCCATAGTGAGTGTCAAAGTCGGCCATCTCGTCTCTAGCACTTCGAGATTAGGCTTGATACTTACTAGGTACACGTTGTTTACATACTCATGCTATACTTGCTGCACTTTTTGTGCAGGATCTGAGACAGATACTATTGGATGAACTATCATCGCACATCCTCATCATCCAAGGGCGTAGTGGTGAGCTACCTTTCTGAGCCGTCCTGCAGCTACCAGTGCCTCTTCTTGTATTTTTAATTCTATCTATTTTCATTTCAGACAGTATTTGGAGTTTTGTATAATCTACTATATGTTCATACACTTGTGACACCAGGTCTTGGCTCACACATTGATAGAATTTGGTGTCTTATTATTTTTATTGGATTTAAATTTTATTGATATATGTTTAATTTATTAGTTGGCTTGCCTAACTATAGTGTTGGGCACAATCACGACCTATAGGTGAAATTAGGTCGTGACACTTCACTTTTCCCAACAATGTCCAGAGGTTCACTGTCTGCTAGATAAATCTTCCCGAATTTTTCAGCAATATAATTATGCAGTAATTCTTTGCATGATGTAGAGTGAAAGTATGCACCTGAGTCCAAAATCCAAGATTCGACTGGACTGTCTGCACAACAAATTAGTGCATCACCCAATTGTTCGGCAATTGCATTTGCTGAATTATCATCCTTGTATTGATCGTTCTTCTTCTTCTTTGGCTCTCTACACTGACTACTGTAGTGGCCTTTTTTATCGCAATTCTAACACGTAATGTCTTTACGATTTTTGGATTGCCCTCTTCTCCTTGACTTTGATTTGCCACGACCATGACTTTTTTCTTTTTGGCTGCTTCTCCCCCTGCTTTCGATATTAAAAGAAGATCCTGGGGAATCACTTGATTCTCTTCGACGAATATCTTTGCTTAGAACCATGTCTCTAATATCATACTATTTGAGTTTGGTACTTTCCAATAAACTACTAATTGCAATTACTGTTGCAGACTAACTCTCCGGTAGAAATGATAGTAGAATCAATGCCCTGACTTCGTCATCGAATGTTATATTAACATAACTCAACTGAGTTAATATTACATTAAACTCATTGATATGTTCCGTAACAGATCCACTTTCTGTCATCTTTAAGTTGAACAATCGACACATGAAATAGACTTTATTTGAAGCAGATGGCTTCTCGTACATATTTGATAACGCCTTCATCAGGCCTGGAGTGGTCTTCTCGTTAATGATATTAAACGTCACATTTTGTGTTAGCGTCAAACGAATCACACCAAGTGCTTGGCGATCTAATAGATCCCAATCCGCTTTGGCCATAGTCTCAAGTTTTACCTCGGTCAAAGGTAAGTGTAATTTTTTCTCGTACAAATAATCCTCTATTTGAATTTTTCAAAATCCAAAATCTTTGCCATTGAACTTGTCAATCTTAACATTCCCTTCTTACGATGCCATTTTTAACAAAAATAATTTATGTGAATAGTGTTTGTGAATAGTAACAATGATCAATTGTGTCGCACTATTCTTGTGAATAGTACATGCACCAGTACTATACTATTCTACCAGAATTACACTGTCTGTGCTCTGATACCAGTTGCTAGGAAACGTGTTAGGGCTAATAGAAGGAAAAATATTTGAAAGAAAAAAGCAATAAATTGCACAAGACAAGACAAGATTTACGTGGTTCGGCAATTTTGCCTACTCCACGACCACAAAAAATAGTTCTTTATTAATTGAAGAGAGAAAAAAAAAGTTGAGGGATGATTTCCAAATGAAAATGCATACCCCTTTTATAGCCATTTGAATGTCCTGCCAAGGTAAGCGCTTACATCATACGGATGTCGATATAAGCGCATATATCATAAGAATGTCGATTTAAGCGCATACATCATAAGTTTATCTCTTTTTGATTTTTCTTTCTTTTGTTTTGTCCACTTTTGTTTCTTTCACATACAACAACAGGTTTGCTACTATCAATATATACACATGATAAAGTGAGGGATACACAGTTGGATCTGTTTTCTTTATGCATGCACTCATGTTGAATTAGATCTCTCTCTCTTTTTGATATGATGGTGTATGTGCTCTTTCATCTTGTTTCTGTTCCATGGCTGTTGTTAATGCGAGACGATTTCATCATTGAAATCTCATATCTCAGGGAGGTGTAATTTATCAGTATAATTTACCTAATTTTTACTAATTTGTATACTCCAGCATATCCTCATTATTAACACAATACTTCGTTTCCTAAACTCTCTCCCTCGGCCCTTTAATTCGTAGTGAAACAAAGGAGAAGAGGTCCCATATTGGCTTTTCATATTGTGCCTGGGATTAACTGAAGTTGGTGTACCTTTTTGCTACTCATAGATGTCATGTATTGAAACACACAGATAATATATTAGAATGTTACCTGATGATTTGTATTGTGCGAGATGATTTGTACTACTTTGCCAATACTTTTTCTGCTTTAATTTGCTTTTGCATGGACCGTTTTGTAGCTTCCGCCGCCAAAAGATATGCCACCTGATTCCCTTGCCTGAAATTACATGTTAGGATATCATTTTTTCTTCATTTAGTTTGTTTGGATGGTTGTTAAGTGTCGTTTTATAACGTATCATATTGTATTGTATCATTTGATAAATATAATATTTGGATAGATTGTATCGTTTGTCATTATTTCATGATATCACACACCAACAATATAAAGAATAAACTTGTAATATTATAAAGAAAAATTATGACACAATGTAAAATTACTATATAAAAAAGTAGGGTAAATGATAAAATAAAATTATTTAATAATAATGAAGGGTGAGATTGAGATAAAAAGGCAAGGTAATGACGCGACCACACCAAATTGGTTGTTACATAAAGTATCATATTTCGACGTTATGTAACGACGGATTAACGATACGATACAAGAAAATTTAAGTAACAATCAAAACAAACATCGTATTTAAAGTAATAATACGATACAATACAACGGGTAACAACCATCCAGACAAGAATGTTAACCGTTAGAATGGTTTTAACAATATCATTAGGAATTTCGAACGATAATTGAGAAAGATCCCAAGTGTTGTTACGATATAAATCTTTGATTTTTAATTTGAGATTTGTTTTCTTTTTATGAAGCGGTCCCGAAATACAGTGTCTAAGGCAGGGGTAGTTTCGAAACCATGTAGATTCTCGCTCTCAACTAAGATATGTAGGGAAGTTATCTGTAAATAATTGTTGAGCATCAAGTACGTAGTAGAATTGGGAAAAAGACTATGCATGGCAATACAATTAATTACTGGTTTTGTCGACAAGAGCGAGTTGCTCCAGTGGTGAACACTCTTCACCTCCAACCAATAGGTTGTGAGTTCGAGTCACACCAAGAGCAAGGTGGGGAGCTCTTGGAGGGAGGGAATAAAAAAAATAAGAAAAAAGAAAAAAAAATTACTGGTTTCGCCGAAAGTGTCTTCTTACAACCAATAGGTTGTGAGTTCAAGTCATCCCAAGAACAAGGTGGAGAGTTCTTGGAGAAAGAGAATAAAAAAAAACGATTAGCCGAAAGTGTTTCTTTCCAATTCTACTAAGAGTAATACTTGGCAGTTCATCCCCAGTTCAGCTAGGAGTCAAATTTGGCAGTATATTCAAATTGTATCACCATAAAAAATGGCGAAACCTGTAGAATACTACTTTTTTATGGTATTACGGTTCGACTCCGAGTTGAATTGTGAATATACTGCCAAATATTACTCTTAGTGGGCTTTTGGACATGGGAATTGTAAACTTCCGGAAAAAGTTTAAAAGAAAATTCAAGCGAAAATGATATTTGAAAATTAGAGTTACGTTTGGACATGAATTCAATTTTTGGTTATTTTTAAATTTTTGTGAGTGATTTGAAGTGAATTTTGAAAAATGACTTTTTGGAGTTTTTCAAATTTTTGAATAATTTCAAAATTCATTTTGAAGTGAAAAATTAAAAATTTTATGATCAAACACTGATTTTGGAAAAAAAGTAAATTTGTTTTATGTCCAAACGGCACCTAAAGTAGAATTAAAAAGAAGACTCACTTTCCTAACTTTTTTTTTATGGTATTACAAATTGAATATAATTTGATACCTAGTTGAATGGAAAAAGGAGCATAGCTTAAGGTCTTCAAAATGGAAGGAGTTCTCAAAAAATTGAGTGATGTTGCAAAAATATCAACAAAAAGTATTCAAAAGAGGCGTATTCTGTGAATGAAGAAGAGGCGTCGTTGTAGAGTTCAACTTCCAAATGACATAATAATATTTCAGATACTAACATGGCTCCCTGCCAATCTTTGATGCAATTCACGTATGTTTGTAAAGCTTGAAACAATACGACATGATTCCAACTTTATTAAATTCCACATTTTTCGTGGTCCCTCAACCACCCACTTTTTGTTTGAACTACATATTTTTCCTCCTAACCCTCTAAGATCTTTTCAGCGTAATACACAACGTTTAGAAAAATTATCTGTACAACTCGTTCCCCGTCATTATTTAGCGACAAGAGTTAAGTTCCTTATGTGCTCAAATCAATGCAATGGCCTTGTTTGTATTTATAACAACTATAAGGGGCGTTTGGTAGGGTGTATAAGAATATTTATGAATAAGGTGTATTAGTAGTGCAGAGATTAGTAATGCATGGGTTAATAATACGAGTATTAGTTATGCAGAGATTATTTCTTATCCACTATTTGGTGTGATGTATTAAAAATTAAAATGCATTACATAATTTTTAAGAAAATTAATTGTTTACAAAAAGGCCATTCATATTCTTTTGCTTTAAGGGTTTTTAAGAATAATTTTGCCTTTAACCATGCAATTGTATGCATTAATAGTCTTGGTATTGCTAACACCACGGTTTGGTACGTATTAGTTATACATGTGATAATACAAAATAGGTTGTATAACTAATACTTGCATTAATAATACATAGGGTGCAAAAATATACCAAACAAAAGATTATTAATACCAAAAGTTAATTCACGCAATAAAATTTACTTATGTAATGTCACCACGTAGGAGATGAAAGCTCTGCCATCCTCTCTCATAAACTTTTTTTGGGAGGAAAGTTATTCTTATTTGTTTCTGGGATTTTATCCGATCATGGAACAATACAAATTGCTTTATGTTTGTCATCACGAAGATCGACCAAAAATCAAGATTCTAACTCTAGGAACCATGTTGTGGTAATTTTCCTTTTACCTGTCCATTTTAACAAGTCGAGATTTATTATTTTCTTTTAATATTACCCTTAGTATTAACTATTAAGTACGTACCAACACTCCGCTAATTTATTAGAGTTATTATAACTTTAATAACCATTAACAAGGGTAATTTAGTAAAACAACACCTTAAAAATAATTTTGGGGGCGTGCCTATCTCAATAGAGGACTCGGTAACAAGGTATGGAGTGAGTATAACTAAAAGAATAATTTGATTTTAGTGTCCTTATTTATTCTTTGATCTCAAGTTATTATTATTCATGCTTTCACTAATTAATCTCTCTCAACATTTGTTAATAAAAGGGTATAGGTGAAAAACTTAATTAACTCTTTCTTGATTTTTATAAAATGACGAGTATTTTAGACCAATTTTTTTCAGCAAATTAATCGTGACAACTAAAAAGGTATTAGCTAATCGACTGAACACCCTGCCACAACTGTCACACCCCTTTTTTCACCTCACTAACCCCTATTTAAAAGAGATAAATTGATTTTGTAAAGCTCAAAAGGGTTTTCAAATTGAAAGTGACAAAAAATTGTGTTTAAAAGATTTTTCAGAGTCGCCACCTGACATTTGGTTTCGGTGTGCCAGGTGGGGTTTTTAAAATAATAATTTTCCTTCAAAACACATTTGACTCTAAAACTGATTGCACCAGAAATTCTAGGTAAGGGGGTTCATTTGACTCGGGGAGAAAGCGTTAGGCATTCCCCGAGTCCCGTGAAAGTCACAGTTGCATACACGATCTAGTTGGCTTTAAAGAATACTCAAATTGAGGCAGAAACATACAAAACCAAAAATAAACATAAAAGAGGTTCGAGGTCGTCCCCGCCTAATAAAAGAAAATAAAATAAGAGGAAAATACTAAAAGTCTATACAATGCTCACTCCACGATGTCCGTCACAGCCTCCAATTACATTCATCACGGGACATACCTCGGATAAAATAATAAACTACGGGACAACCTCTAACCTCAAATAAAATAGAAAGTCCTAAAATTTGACTACCCAGGTGTTATCGGCCTATCATACTCCTAGCGATCTAATTAAATAAAATAAAATGACAACAAGAAAAAAAATCCAAAGTCTAACATTATGTTCGAACTCCCATGGCCCAAGTTCATTTAATCAGAAATGTCCTCTACGTGCACCTACTGTCTCCATTCTACTAATCATGTCAACATGTATTCACATTCACACATAAATTTGCAAGTCATTCACAAAATGACAATTAAAGCATGGATTCCAAACAAACACAAACAACTCACGGGAGATAAATCAAAAAACAGAGGAAAGGGAAGGAATAAACCTTTGACGAATCTTCCTTTTATATTAAACAATAGAGCTCCAAATCAAGTGCACATCAACGGTTGCTTCAAGCTCACGAACCCAGACCGGAAACCTCGAATCAAACACAACCTCGGATGACCTCCATTTTTAAAACCAAAATTTGAAGGACAGTACTTTCGTTCGTCTCTTTTAGTGCATCATCAAACTCACGTAGCCTCTCTGTAACGTTTTTCCTTTTCTTTTATTGAAATTCTGGTCGTTCCCTTCTCACCCTCGTTCTCACTATATCGTTCCCTCTGCTTCTCTCCCTCTCGTCACTCTTTTCCCTATGTTCAGGTGAATTCTCTGCTGGTCCCTTAGAGATTGAAAGAAAGAAGATCGAAAAATTCAGGAGGGGGAGGCGGTTGCCCTAGGATAGTCTGTTCTCTGCCCTGCTGCTGCCCCAAGTCCCCTGGGGTTTGGGGTGTTAATTTGATTTTTATATGGTGGTGGGGAGTAAGTATTGGCCATTGGATTAAACATAATGAGTGGCCAAAATTTAATCTTGCATTTAAGTGGAGAGTCAGATAATGGAACTGGGCTGGCCGAATTTGGACCTATGTTAAATGGAGTTGGACAAAAAATGGACCTTTTAAGACAAGAATCAACCCAAAATCCATTCTTTTATTGAAAATAATAAAATACTAATTGACTTTAACCGAATTAAAATTAAAAGTGAAGCCAATCCCCTTTTTATTTTATTTTTTCGTATTTTTCCAAAGATTATATTAAGGTAACAGTAGAAACGATAGGTTAAAACCATAGCAAAATTCACTACAAAAAGAAACTAATGATATTAAATAAATATATGTATAAAATGAGAAATATTATAAAGATGAAACTATTTTTGTTGTTTTCAATTTTTTATGCTTTAAAAACTTGAATTAAAATTAATAATAGAGTGAAATTCTATAGAAATTAAAACTACTAAAGATAATTCTAATGTGTAGGTCAAAAATTACGTGCTTACAGCTGCCCCTCTTTGCTTGGAAACACGAAGTGTTTTTGAGCAAAGAAATAAGTAAGCGACGTAATTGATTTCTAACCCGACACTTATTCAAAAGAAAAGAAAGATGGATAGAAGATTGTGACCGAGCTCTGGTATCTGAGCTGCCTACTTATCCTTGGCTATAAAGGAATCGGGCCACGTGTAGTTCAGAAATAAGAAAAATGGAGAAAGATACTGAGGTAGTGAGTCTAATGAGGTGTCGCCGAGGTTCCGGTCATGGTTTCTGTCATTACATCAAAAATAAAACAAAATTACTGCAAAATAAAAGAGAAAAATACAAGGTCCTATCTACTTCTTGTCTCGAATCTTCCTTGTATCTCCACTTGAATCTTCAACATGAAACTGAAAATCAAACCTATTCATCAGGTGGGCATCCTGCTAACTTGAACTTGGACAAAACTGAAAGTTGACTCTGTTCTTCAGACGGGCTCCTGCTGCTTCGACTTGAAATAAACTTGAACTCGGAGTAGACTTGAGCTTGCAAACCTTGTTCTTCAGGCGAGCTCGTGCTACTTCTGATTTGAACTAAAAAAATTAGAGGTTAACCCTATTCTTCAGGAGGGATCCTGCTGCCTCTGACTTGAACTTGAAAACTGAAAGTTGATCCTGTTCTTCAGGCGGGCTCCTGATGCTTCTCTAACTTGAACTTGAAAACTGAAAGTTTACCCTATTCTTCAGACGAGCTCCTGGTGCTTCTAATTTGACTTGAAATAAGCTTGAATTTGAAGTAGGGTTGTGCTTGTAAACCTGCATTTTCAGGTGAGCTCCTGCTTCTTAAACTCGAAAATTGAAAGTTGACCATGTTCTTCAGGCGGGATCCTCTTGCTTGATCTTGAAAGAAACTGAAAGTTGACCCTATTCTTCAGGCGGGCTCCTAGTGCTTCTCTGATTTAAACTTAAAACTAATTTCTGAAATATTGACCTCGTTCTCCAGGTGGGTGCCTGCAATATAAAACGAATAAAATGAACAAAATTTTCTGCCCCACTTTGCACTAGGAAGATTTGTGAGTTGTTAGCAAAACTGTAAATCACCTATGTTATTAATGAAAGATGAGAGTAAAACTAAAGAATCGACTAGGATGTGCGTCTCCTGTGAGATTGAGCTTCAGGAAAATTATAAACTGAACTTGACTAAACTTGAAAATTGACACTATTCTCCAGGCGGGACCCCTGAACTCAAGGAAAACTGAAGATTAACAACTTAAGAAAACTAAAAACTGACCATATTCTCCAGGCGGGACCCCTGAACTCAATGAAAACTAAAGATTAATAATATTAAGGAAACTAAAACTGACCCTATTCTCCAGGTGGGACCCCTGAACTCAAGGAATGCTAAAGATTAATAACTTAAGAAAACTAAAAACTGACCATATTCTCCAGGCGGGACCCCTGAACTCAATGAAAACTAAAGATTAATAATATTAAGGAAACTAAAACTGACCCTATTCTCCAGGTGGGACCCCTGAACTCAAGGAATGCTAAAGATTAATAACTTAAGAAAACTAAAAACTGACCCTATTCTCCAGGCGGGACCTCTGAACTTAAGAAAAGTTAAAGATTAACAACTTAAGAAAACTAGAATTGACCCTATACTACAGGCAGGACCCCTGAACTCAAGGAAAGCTAAAGATTAACAACTTAAAGAAACTAAAAATTGACCCTCTCCTCTAGGCGAGACCCCTAAACTTAAGAAAAGTTAAAGATTAACGACTTAAGAAAACTAAAACTGACCCTGTTCTCTAGGCGGGACCCCTAAACTTAAAGAAAGCCAAAGATTAATAACTTAAGAAAATTAAAATTGACCCTATTCTACATGAGGGACTCTTGAACTAAAGGAAAACTAAGATTAACAACTTAACAAAACTAAAAGCTGACCTTATTCTCCAGGTGGGACCCATGAACTTAAGGCAAACTAAAGACTAACAACTTAAAGGAAACTAAACACTGACCATATTCTCCAGGCGGAATCCCTGAACTAAAGGAATGATAAATATTAACAACTTAAGGAAACTAAAAACTAACCTTATTCTTCGGGCGGGACCCCTGAACTTTGAGAAAAACTAAAGACCAACAACTTAAGGAAACTAAAAATTGACCTTATTCTCTAGGCGTGACCCCTGAACTAAAGGAAAACTAAGATTAACAACTTAACAAAACTAAAATCTAACCCTATTCTCCAAGCGGGACCCCTGAACTCAATAAAAGCTAAAGACTAACAACTTAAGAAAACTTAAAACTAACCCTATTCTCCAGGCGGGACCCCTGAACTTAATGAATGCTAAAGATTAACGCCTTAAGGAAACTAAAACTGACCATATTCTCCAAGAGGGACCCCTGAACTTAAGGAATGCTAAGGACTCCTCTCAACTAGGGGTATGCCTAGGAGGTACAGTTCTTTTCAACTAGGGGAATATCTAAGAGCTAAAAACCTTCTCAAACATCCTTTGTCCTGACAAAATTTGGGCACAACACCTGAAAAATTCAAGCTTCCAAGCTTCGATTTGGACATAGTCTTCATCCATGTTTCAAACAAAGAAAACGTGTGAGTTTAAAACATGGTGGTTGGTTTGTGGCCTTGATCTTGAGGGCTATTGCTCCTACACTTACCATGATAACTTTGATTTCAACTTGGAAGACCCTGCTTGTTATTGGCTAACCACTTTTCTGTCGAACATTACCACAGAAAATACCTCTGATCTATTCGAGCCCTATAGCCTTTATATGTTGCATTGTGATCAGGAATTGATATTTACCGAACCTTTGCATTTCATATGAATCCCAAATCACATCAATTGTCACCAACTCAGTGTGCATACTACTCTTTCTTGACTTATACCACTTTGATGTGCTAGCCAGACTCCGTTTGTGCAATTAGAAAGCTAGTAGCAAATTTTTAAGTCATTTCTCACTTGTTCTGATGAAACAGACTCAAAAGGAGGACTTAAACAAAGCAAGAGGAATAGAGTAAGGGGACAATGGAAAGAGATAATATCTAACAAGAAAATTATCAAGTAGAAACTTATCTGATGTGACACCAACTCTAATGACCATGACGTGCATCTTGGATTAAGTGGTTTGATCTGTCAAGCAAGTCTAATCGTCCATTCTTGTCATACCTCTAAGATGTGAAACTAGGATTCAATGCTCCCATTGTCCTATCCAATTCACGATCCTCATTCAACTTATAGTTCCCTGAAGGGTTTTCACTATCAATCCTCTCTCATTTTGTTCTTTCTCTCAACCCACCATCGCCTTATGGTGCCCGTGAAGATTTTCACCAATAAGACTCTCTCATGTTATTTTTTTCTTCTTATTTCCTCTGATTCTGCAAATGACAACGCATTAACCATGGTAAAAATATCATATGCTCCTCGCATGTCTAACTCGGCACTCTCAAAGATTATCTAGAAGGTCTTTTTTGGACTGTAATATGGCTTTTGGATGGGGTTAGAAAGAAAGAAAGGCATTAAAGCTCAAATTCAAACATAAGACAAAATGGGGTTTAACTTTACAACTTTTGGAACCGTCTTTTATAGAAACCGAAACTTCTACCCTAGTTTCTGCAACAAGAGAATTTAATATTTTTTCCTTTTTTTTCTTTTCTTTTTGACATGAAATTTCTAAAAAATTGTCCCACTCTTGACTTTGTGGGATTATGAAATTTTTTATTTGGTGCGACCGAACCGTAAGGTTACCTACGTATCTTGTGGTAACAAGAATCAGGTTGAACGTAGTTCAAAAGAATACTTTTTGTTGTTGCTATTTTTCTTTTTCTTCTTTTTTTCTCATTTTTTCCTTTTTTTCTTGTTTATCTCTTCTTTTTTTCTTTTTGAATTTTTCTTTTGGAATGAACTTTCTAAAATAAGCCTATGGGGAACACGACTTCTTTTTTGTTTTTTATGACTCTAACTTGATTCCAAAAGAGGGGAGGTCAAAGAAATCAGCATTGGCTCAAAAGGGTACCGAAGGGTATAAAGTGTTTGGGTAGCTGAAAGAGTGCCTCCCAATCTAAGAAAATGCCAAGTACAATACATGCAACTTGAGGGTGAAAAATGAAGATAATACATAACATTTGTTTTGTCGCTTCGGCATTAATATCACTGATATGCCTTCCATCTCTATTTAGTGCCATGTCAAGTACAGAACTCTCGATGGGAGATTTCTTCTTCACAATCGATACCCTTCATCAGTTTGGGACAAACTCCCTTGGCTTTATCTTGTAACTTGAGATGCACTTGAACTCAAAGTTCCTTGCTTCAAATTGTCCAGGACGCACTCTCTTGTAACAAATTCTTGTCATCCTCTTAACTTCCCAAACTGTATGCCTCGGCTTCACACAATTCAGGCTTTAAATAATCTCAAAATGTCCAAATCTTTACTTATTTTTCCTCAAATGTCCCTATCATCTTCAAACC